AGGGAGAGAGAATAGAGAGGAACAGGGAGAAGAAGTCGAAAAAGAGAGAGCAAGAGAGAGAGAGAGAGAGAGAGAGAGAGAGAGAGAGAGAGAGAGAGACTATATATATATGTTAAAATTGTTTATATTTGACTTACTTTCTTTTAATTCAATTTAAGTTTTTGCCTACCTGGTTTACTTTTTGCATCTTTTGTTGCAATGTTAGTTACCCTTATAGGATGAAAATTTTTCTTCATGCCATATTGTTTAGAGGTAAGCCACATAGATGTTATATTTAGCCTTGTAAAATTTTTGGAACACTACTTTTTATGTTCTTTTGTTAAAACCATTTTCTCCCTGTCTGTTTTAGAGAGCAGCCCTTAGCATTGGGAAATTGGCTCTCCTAATGTTTTATCTTACAAGTATGTGCTTGTTGCTTACATCTTAGGTCATGCTATGGCTATCATCACTACCCTGACTTTCCTATATTTATATTTGTATGCTTTTTTTTGCTGACTAGGTTCAACCAAGCTTGGTAGAAACATTATACAGATACAGGGCAGACTTGGAGACCATATTCAATATGATCGACAAGGATCACTCAGGTAAACTGATGTCTTGTGGTAAGCATGTCCATTGGAATTTTTCAGGTTCTTGGAAACATTATGGGTAATAAAATATTTACCCGAGCCCTTATATGAACCATACATTTCAATTATACAATTTAGCATTCAAAAATGGTCTGGCACCAGGAAACCATATACTGCAGATGAGAACAAAGAGGAAGGATATAATCCCAATTTTTGTTAGTTGGGATTTTTATAAAATATATATTTTGGAAGGGTAATACTAAGCGTTGGCTCTTAAACCATTATGTACCACCTTTCATGCCATAAGAACATTAATAGACAATACAAACAAATACAGTTAATAGACAAACAGCAGGGAAAAGAAATTGTTACAGTAAGCCCTAAACATGACACATCTTCAATGTGACAAAACCTTTAACATGTCCGCTCCTGTACTTCCCCCCTCTACAGATTTTGAATCACCATTTGCGGGTTCACTTTAAAATGTAGTTCTAATCATGTGTAGTATCATTTCACTTAAACTTAAAGTTTGATGACCTAGGTATAGAGTGTGTGGATACATGGAGGCATGAACATGCATGGAATACACGTGCATATATAGATTGGACATATATGCGGGGTGTGTAAAGTGTCTGGATCCTTGCTGAAGGATGAAATGAAAAACCTTATTTTTGAAAGGAACACAAGGGGCTTTTATTATATTTTCATTTTGTATATACTCTGTTGGACTTGTTGGTCATCTGTTTCTGGGATCCAATAAATGCTACACTCTCTGTAAAAGAACCTAGGTTGCCTGGAAATTGCCTGAAGTTTGCATTCTGCACATCCTTTCCCCAGTACATATAAATATATATTTTCACAACACAGAGGTCTGACATGGCCCTTAATAAGTCAGAGCCCGAGCTCTCTACCAAGCAGGGCGCATGAGCCTTTCTGATTGCAGAGCTATACTGTAGATCTGACTCAGCAAGGGCCATGTTGGACCTATGCAATGACACCCATGGCTTCCCCACAGAGAGGAAGGGCCCCACTCTGCAGCTGCTAGCACGGGTCAGGCTTATCAACCGTGGTTGCTTTAAAAATAAATCAAAGCTTATGGATACCAGTTACCCTGTACTAACAGTCATTTTAAATAATATGAAAATTTAGTTATTCATTCAGTTATTCATGATAGGTGAAGTGGGTTTCTTCATGCACCGTTTAAATATCATATGTTCATGAAATTGTGTTTTTATGTCCTATTTAGGCCTAATTTCCATTGAGGAATTTCGTCAAACATGGAAACTTTTTAGCTCGCATCTTCATATCAGTATAGATGATTCGACTATTGATGACTTAGCTCACAGCATAGACTCCAACAAAGACGGCAGCATTGACTTTAATGAGTTTTTGGAAGCTTTTCGTGTGGTTCATAAATTCGAAAGGCAAGATAGCAAAAAAAGATGAAAGCTTTCAGTCGGCCTCATGGGCCTTGGTGTAGAAGTGATCTCACAATCAAGAAGATTGTGGTTGTTCCTCTGAACCGTACAGTCGGCTTTTTTCTTCTGTATGGAGAAGGTCGTGGAACCAATTGTCGATGAAATACAGAGAGGGCTTCTAGAGGTGAAGCAAAACATTCCTGCAAGTGGATTAACAGGCAGCGAAGGATTAAAATTTATGGACTCTTATCTGGGTTTATCCATTCAAACCAACTCAGTAAAGATTCTGATATGTTGGAATATTTTGTTGTGGATAATTGCCTTGGCTCTGTGGCAAGTGTCAGTAGGATAACAATACATGATTTATAGGAAATGCTTAAATAGATGTCTATAATGGCATTCAGATACATAACCGTTATCATTACTGTCTATACAATATACAATGCTTTCTTATAAAAGATAAAGTGTGGTTCTAACCTAATTATTATCATCTGATAGTTCAGATACACATTTTATTGATGTTCCCCTGTCCTCTTATGGGTCAGAGCTCTTTGGATTGCATATTCTGTGTTCTCTTCGTGAGTTAAGGATATAGTTATAAAATATTTACATTGTTAGAGAAGCACCTTTCAGTCTAGTCTCTACCCATTGTGATTTTAGTGTGGTTAAGAAAGAATGTAAATAAAATGTTATATAAAATAATTTTCATAGTCTGCTCAGATTTGGAGCAGTTATGGCCAATAATGGCTAATTTGGAACATCAAGAAACCAATTCATACTAATTACATGTAGAATATATTTATTTAAGTGTAAGTATAGGCAAACAGAAAAATACATAGATAAATATATATAAATATATATATATATAAACTGGGTTATCTACCAAATAAAGTTGTAATTCTGTACAGCCAGTTTTTAGACTTTCAGACACCTCTACCAGACACATTATACACGTTCTTGACCATTTACTTATGAACAGTTCAGTTGAAGAAATACAACTTAGCCAAGGCTGTGATAGTGTAGAAGAATCAGATTAGTAATGAGGTAATCTCTGTGCTCTCTCCTTCCATCAGCAAGCTTACAATACTGCCATTTTCTCTCCCACGCTGAATTTTTAAGTTAAGCAGGCTAGTACAAAGAAAGATTGAGGTAAAATATTTTTAAGTTTGTTTTTCAAGAAAATATACCTACATCAGGGGGTTATTCACAAAGCTAGCCGGAGGATCAGCCTTAGCTCTAGCTGATCCTTCGGCTAGCTTTAGCCGCCTGAGCCCTTCAGTTCAGTAGAACCAAAGGGCTGCTGTACGGGTTTGTCACCTAAGCCCGTACAGCTCCCGAAGTTGGCCGAGCGGCATATGCTTCGGATCAACTGAGCCGAGGTGAAAGCCGAAGCAGGCCGAAAGCCTACTACTAACAGCTGGGCAGGGACAACCGTCATCTCACGGATGGCTTCAGCCACTTGCAATGACAGATCAGCGTCGAGCTCTCATTGTAATGATAGTTCAGCGTCCCCTGGTTACCTGGTAACCAGGGGACGCTGAACTGTCATGAGAGCTCAGCGGAGCCAGCTTTGCTATTACGGCCAATGTACGGCTAAAATCAGCTGTACAAGCCTTAAGGCTGGGTTCACACCTGGGCGTACGGAATATGCGTGTTTGCCGCGCGTTTCGTGCCCCGCATTTTTACAGCCCAGGTGGGAACCATGCCCATAGGCAATTATTGGTTTTCACATGTTGAGCATTTTACAGCACGTAGGAATGCGCTGTAAAACGCCCAGGTGTGAACCAGGCCTAAGTGAATAGCCGAACAGTGGGTCGGTTATTCACACGGCTGCCTTTTTGTTTTATTGATGATCTTGGATTACAAAAGCAAACAGGCAACTTTAATAAGACAGAATGTAGCACCTGTAACAACAGATCAGCCATCAGTCTTCACTGTTCTAATCTTAAAAAAATTAAATATGGTTGGCTGATATGAGCTACTGCTATGCGGACATGATTTGCTGTTTGCACTGCTGTATTAGACAAGCCAGTAGACAAATGTTTCATAATCATTCACAGCAAGGTTTACCTAGTGATTGTTTGGCCCTGACCTGCATCAACTTACATCTGACTGCAATGTATACAAAGAGTATCGGTTAATGGCACCTTCTCAGACTGGGCTGAGGTCATGAGTGGCGTGCCCCAGGGTTCGGTGCTGGCTCCCATGCTTTTTAATCTATTTATTAAAGGAGAACTATGAGATGAGTGATTTCCACTCACCTCATAGTTCTAGCCAACCTGTGACAATGAGACTGTCACAGGTCGGCTCAGTAGATCGGGAGGTGAGCGAACACATACCGGGTTCGCTCACCTCTCGATCCTGTCACGGCTCTCTGCCGTGACAGGGGGAGGGGCTGGATTCCCCTCTCCCCGCTCCGATCTGCCAGCGCTGACTGGCGGAACGGACGGGCGAGGGGGCGGGTACAGCTGGCTCAGCCTGTAGATAGGCAGAGCCAGCTGTCACTCACGCAGCTGGGCGGATCTCGACGTCCATGTCGGGATCCGCTCCGGCTGCGGCGTCTCAGTATACCGCGAGCTGTAGCTCGTGGTATACTGAGCTTAGGGTAACGGGAGGACGCTAGTTTGTGTCCTCTCGTTACCCTAAGGAGAACTATGGGGAAAAACACTGACCCCATAGTTCTCCTTTAATGATATCGGGGAGGGAGTTAGTAGTCATGTCTCAGTGTTTGCAGATGATACGAAAATTGGGAGGGTAATAGACACGGATTATAACATTACAGGAGGACCTGAATAAATCGGGGAGTGGGCAACTGTATGGCAGATGAAGTTCAATGTCGATAAATGTAAGGTAATGCACTTTGGAGTAAAAAATAGGCAAATGGACTATACACTTATGGGGGTGCCACTAGGGAAGTCAGAAACGGAGAAGGATTTGGGGGTCATTATAGACCGCAGATTTAAGAACTTTACAGATCACTGGTTCGGCCACATCTGGAGTATGCGGTCCAGTTTTGGTCACCGATACTCAGGAAGGATATCCTTGAGCTGGAAAAAGTCCAGAGGAGGGCAACCAAACTTATCAAGGGGTTTGAGGACCTGAACTATGAAACGAGGTTGTTAAAATTAAATATGTTCTCTTTGGAGGTTGTGAGAGTAAGGGGGGACATGATTCTCCTGGATTCTCCTGTATAAACTATTCAAGGGCGACAGCAACATTATTAACAAATTTTTTACGGTCAGCTCCATAACAAAGACCAGAGGGCACAACCAAAAATTGGTGGAATTTTTTTTTTTTTCACACAGGGCGCAAGGGGTTATTCACAGTTAGAGCGGTTAAGGTCTAGAACTCGGTCCCGCAGGAAGTGATAGCAGCTAAGAGTGTGGAATCATTCAAGAAACTCTTGGACGCGTTCCTCGTAGACCATAACATACAAGGGTACAGGTACGCCTAGGAACAAAATCGCACATGGACTAAAACACACGTACACACCTGCTCAAACATAAATGCACACACGCAATAGGTTGGACTTGATGGACTTATGTCTTTATTCAACCTCAAATACTATGTAACTATGTAATGTATGCCTGACTTTCCCTTATCTGGAAACAGATAAAGAAGAATAAGAAAGTATATGACACTGTTGCAGTTTACATTAAAGTTTCAGACTATAGCTATGTACTTCATGTACTTTTCAGAATAAATAATGTCCTCTCCTTTGTATAATAACCTTTTTTTCATGTGAAAGCTGAGTTTGCCTAGTTCCCTGCCATCTCCCGGACTACCCTTTTGGTCAGTAATGTTGCCCATCACACTAAAGGACCACTAGGAAGGCACAGGAGGTCTGAGGGGCCAAGCTCAACTTTTCAGCTCGGCACACACTGCAAGATATTTTTTATTCAGCTTGTGAGGTTGAGATAGATTCCAGAAGATATTTTGTAAGGAAGACAAGATTATTTGTTCAGCTCACAGGAAGTGACAAGTACACTGTATTTATGCCAAGCTCTGAATACCTGAAAATGTTCTTAGGCTGAAAAAAGAAAATTGATGCAACCACCACATCTACAGACTGGTAAGCTTCAATGCATTAAACTTTTGTTCATGGGTTATAGTTATAGGGAACATTTTGAAATGTTAATTGGGCCTAAGCAGTACCCTGGAAATGTAAATTGTTGTTTCTGGAATTCCTCCTGAAAATTAGCAGTGCATCCCCTGGTATACAGTATAAGGGTGCATAGCCACTCCTGTGCCTACATCCTCATAGCTGCATATCTGCAGTCTTATGTTAAAACTATTTTGTAAGAACAATTTGAATAAATTATAAGTGTACAGCATAATTAACACAGAAACCAATCTGAATCCACTTTTTCAAGCTCAATTTATCTTAAATGCTCATCTGGTCTTTTAATCAGATCTGAATTCATCTGTAAGTTAGACAATTTCTTTCATTTGTTTGAAGCTCATCAGAAAGATGAAACTTTATGTATCTAGCTGTCTTAGATCAGCTCCAGCATTCTGAGATTTGTTGCTGTCATGATTGGTGATTAAAGGAAATTCCTCAGTAATGGTATCCACCTTGTCTTATTTGTATCTGATTTATGAAATGTATGGGAATTAGTCATTTATTTCCTTGTGGGGGTCTTGTAACTTCTCAGCTGTGATTAGTAATGTTAAAATATGTGAACCCACTAGAGCTTTTACAGTTTTAAAACCAATAAAATGTCTATATTATATGCATGACCGGTGCTGCTGTCATTATTATATACTGTACACTTTTTGAGTATTTTTTTTGTTTCTTGGGAGTCACTCTGGATAAGGTATCATGTGTATGCTTTTTTGCTTGCTTCTCTATGCTACACTGGCCTCCACTGATCTGTACACGGATACGGAAAAGGGTCTCCTACTGTTTTTTTAATTTTTTTAATACCTTAAGTATAGGAAACAATTCTATAGTTTCCTGCTGCAGACCTATTTAGACCTATTGACAAATTTCCGAAACTGGGAGTGTTCCTAGTACACAAATGATCT